AATATTAATTAATGCTAAAATATTTCATTACACTTTTTTTAGGGTTAATGAAGAAAAAAAACGTTACATTTTATATTAACGGAGTAATAATTATACTAATTTATTATATCATATAATAGTTATCATTAAAACTAATAATTATAGTTTACACTAAATGATATATGAAAGTTACATAAACATAAAAAATTATTATAAACTTTTTGCTAAAGTTATTTATTCTAAAATTAATATTATATTTTTTTTATCTTATTTAGGGATTGTATTTTTAAATAAGTTAATTTAGTTTATTGTTATAGTAAAATTCCTTAAATTTAACCAATGAACAAATTTTAAAATGTTATCTTAATTTATTTTATTGTTATAATCAAATAGTTATGTACAATTTATTTTAGCCAATGAACAAATTTTAAAACATAATATCATTATCTAATTTATATTTTTATTATTATATGCATAAATATAACTTATAATATTCTATGTTTAAAATATAATACCATTATATAACTTATAATTTTAATACTATATACATAAATGTAACTAATAATATTCTATTTACACTGTGTAAATGCACAGAGTCGAATACTAGTTAGTATAATTATCGACTTTTTTAACATAAGCCAACAAGTGTGCATTAATGTTGGGACTTTTTTTCAACTTTTCATTTGATTCTATTACAACAACAACAACAACATAGCCTTTAGTCCCAAGCAAGTCGGGGTAGGCTAGAGATGAAACCCAAGAGAAACACAAAAAAGACTCGAACCAAAGGAAGAGATCGAAAAAAAAAAAAATGAGCAAAAGGTTTAATCACTATACAACCATAAGGCCATTAAATTATTTAGGTTATTGGCCTTCACAATTTGAAACTCAACATAAATATGGATCCTATTTTTTAAGATATAATAGAGAAAATTTACAACTCATTTTTATTTATTTTAGATATGCTAACTTTTATATTTATGAAATGTTATTTTTTATTTATTTTTTTCATTAATTTCTAAATTACATTATTTTTGGACTATATTTCATTAAAAAATTCAATGGTAAAATAGTGAAAACTCCAATGTATATTTCAATGGTATAGCTTACGTTGGAACATTCGAACGAATATTTCAATGGAGATCAACATTGAAATATTCCGTTGGAATTAAATTTTTCTTGGAATTTAATGATTCCAACGACAATTTTTCCAACGGTCAATTGTTGTAGAAATTTCTGTGGGAATATGCAGTTTTTTTTTTTGGAATTTTTATTTTTAATCATTCAACCGTCGGAAAATGTATTAATGGAATCGTCAAAGTCCAATAGAAATTCCAACGAAAAACTAATTCCACGGAATATTCTCTTTGGAATTTTTGTTAGAATCAACTGAAAAATTCTCACTGAGACATTGGAGTATTCATAGGAATTCCCGCTGGGATTGCATTGGAATATATTTTCGTTGCAATTTCATCACTTTGTCGTGCGTTGGTTTATTTTTTTTAAAAAAATTTTCAAAAAATGTAGTGAACTTGTAAAATAGCCTATATAATGCTTATAGTATGATTACTTTAAGTGGTCCTTGGTCGGGGGCTGACGTAAATTCATATTATCAAGAGTGTGTTTGGTAAACACCATAAATTAGCTTGTAACTTATTTATATAACTTATCTTTCTGCATTCAAACAAATTTAGTTTGCCAAAACAATTTTTTTTTTTAAGTTTGATCTTATCTCATATATAAGTTTACTTATGTAGTTTTTCAAATAAGTTCGTAGTTGTTTTTTCTTCAACTCGCTTATCATCTAATTTTACTAAATATTTTTATTATATCAACTAGCTCTTTTAGCCACAAGTCATAACATACTAGCTAAAAGTTCGAAATTCACTTATAAATTATCAACTAATTTATGAGCTGGCAGATAAGAAACTTATAACTATAAGCTTATCAAACAAAGGTTTTATGTTTGGTAAAACTAGCTGATAGCTATAAGTGATTTTCGAGCTTATTGCTTATAGCTTATGACTTATACCTGAAAAGGTAACTTATATGATAAAAGAGTTTGATAAAATTAGCTGATAAGCTAACTGAAATAAAAATTTTAAAGGGCTTATTTGAAAAGTTACTCAAAGAAGCTTTGAGATAAGCTCGAGTTTTTTTAAAAAAAACTCGTCTTAACAAACGAAACTTATTTGAATACAGGAAGCTTATAAGTTAACCAAATAAACTATAAACTCGCTTATTTGGTTACCAAACATAGCCTAGGCTATGTTTGGTATAATTAATTGATAAGCTACCTGATAGCTGATAAGCTAACTTATAGCTTATCAGTAATTTTCGAGCTTATAACTTATATGACTTATGGATGAAAAACTAGCTTATATAATACAAATGTTTGATAAAATTAGCTGATAAGCTAGCTGAAATAAAAATTTGAACGAGCTTATTTGAAAAGTTACCTAAACAAATTTATGAGATAAACTCGAACTTTTTAAAAAAATCGTACTAACAAACAAAACTTATTTAAATGCATGAAGTTTATAAGTTAACCAAATAAACTATTGTATACCAAACATAGACTTAATCACTTTTAAAAACTCATACTTTCTTTTATTTTATTTTTTTTTTATTTAATTATCGCTAAGTGGAATCTGGAATCCATACAAAACTGCCATAGACGTTAGAATGCCCAAGTGTTCCCAGCCCTGAATTTGAAGAAAAAATAATCGCCGAGAGATCCACCAGCTCACATATGAGCATCACATCCATACATAGACAAAAAAAGTTAAAAAACAGCACCTTGAATTTTATGCAAGACATTCCCTGTGTTCACCAATTTATTTCCATTACCAATAGCATATCAGATACATCGTTTTTTCAATCTCATCATCCCATGCAGCCCAAGTGTTCGACACATTGCCTAGCCCAAGAAAACCCTTCATACATCTTAACATACCTTTCACGAAAAAAAAAAAAGCTAACTTGATCTCATTTTTCACTCTCTAATAATCCGATTCGCTAGTTCATAAAGGCGTTCATCTGCAAGTCCCGAACCATCCCTCGGAGGTCGGAAGCCTCTTCCTTGAGGCAATCGTTCTCCCGAACGACCCTCTCGTGGGTCTCGCCGAGGCCTCTGAGCCGGTCGGCTAGGCCTCGGTTCTCATTTTTTAGGCGTACAAGGTGGGCCCACAGCTCGTCCAGGTGCCTCTGCTTCCTCATCCTCGACCGGCGGGCCGACTCGCGGTTCGAGATCATCCTCCTCCGTTTGCGCTCGTCTATCAAGTCCTCGTCCGAGGTCGAGTTGTTGCTCGGGCTTGGGCTCGGGTTTGGGTTTGGGCCCGGCCCGAAAGGTTGGTGGGTTGGGAAGTTGGTGAGTAGTTGTGGGTTGTGATTATTGGTGATGGGGAAATTTGTGAGGAGGAAGTTGTTTGAAGGGTCATGTGGAGTGGTGGTATTGGTCAAGTAGGTNTGTGAGAAAAAATAAGTGTTTGTGTGTGTGTTTTGAGATGGTAAGGTGCATTGCATGAGAGTGAGGGGGGGTTTTATAAGGATGAGAAATGGTTTGGCCTACTTCTATTCTTAAAATTTAGTCCATGTTTATATATGAAAAGAATAGTTAAGGTTAATTTTAATAAGGTGTTTCATATATGGACAAGAAAGATTCGTTTTTACCTGTGAAGACAGTCTTTTCATTGATGCAGTAAACATTCACACACATATTTTTATGTGGATGCGTATTGATTCAATGATGGAAAAAGTTTTACGAGCCGGGTGTTATAACGATGCCCTAAAATAATTAGTAAACTTTGATGTAAATAAAGTTTTTCATTTATGGACAATTGATAAAGAATATTCCATTTTACTCGTGTGGACAACCTTTTTAATGATGTATTAAATACTCATACACATGCATTTTTTATATGGATGTATATTGAACTAACAATAAAAATGTATTTACGAACAATATCTAAGTATATGAGTGTAGGATGAAATTCATCAAAATATATACAATCATCGTGTGACACAATAACCAAATCAAAGTACACTTTAATTTCCAATCAATATTGATTGCGTTTTCTTAAATTGTTTGAAAATTATCATAAAGCTATCTTTGTGAGAATGGAGTATAAAATATTAATGATATTTATTTCCCAACTCTAGCACCACATAACAAAAAGTAGGACAATTTTTTAAGATATTTCGTGTGGTTAATATTAGACGAGGAAATATTTGAAAAAAGGTTAGCGCAGTCATGATCAATAGTTAAAAAAAAAAAAAAATATAAGAGCATATGTTATAAAGCCAATTCAAGAATTATTGGACCCTTAAACCCAATCATGAATGAGAACTGATGACGAAATCTATGCAATTTCTAAAGCTACTCATTATTAATTCTTCCAAATACGCGAAAAATAGTATTCCATTCTTTAATTAAATAGTTCAGGTGACGCGTGTCACACATAACTTTGGATGTAAGGGACATGAAATAAATTTATGTGGCCAATATCTGTTGCGTCTTAAACCTAAATCACATTTATTTTAGTTGTACCACACATTGAGCTGATGCATTAAGAATTTAAAATTGATGTTTAGAGATATAATATATAGCTTTGCTAATCAGCATTTTGTTGCTAAGTTAAAGATTTTAGACGAATTAAAGTTTTGACCCGTCATAAATTCTAATTTAATTATTTAGTAAACAATGCTTTGAAATTAATTTTTACGATAGGAAATCCAATTTCGGACAAGCTCAATATTAGAGTTTTTTTAGAAATAGTAATGTCAGTTGTTTTGAGTTTTGATATATCAAATATGTCATTATTTAACTCACTTTGTGTAATCAGGTAATACAATGAGTTGGTCGAATTAGATTGTTGTAAAAGTAGTTGTATCAAATAGTCAATTATTTACTAAATACTTTTCATAACCAGACAATCCAACCAGTTGGTTAAAATAAAATGAACGTAAACTTAGTTCATTTAACATATGTTAATTCTTACTAAATAGATGAGTGTAGAATTAATTATTTTTTCATATCAAACGACTGATTATTTGTCAAAACACTTTGCATTAATAATCAACTAGTTTTTTTTTTTTTTAAATAATAATCAACTAGTTAAAATAGATTATTGTTAAATGAGTTATTTTTGCATATCAGACGACTAATTATTTATTAACCACTTTGGATAATCAAGTGTATATCCATTCAGTAAGTTACACTTATCAATTCAATAAGCTATCCACTATTAATTATTAGTGGTTAATTAATTATTAGTGGTTAATTATCTACGTACTATTTAATCAATTAGATAAAATTATCAATTCAATGAGATATATGCATGCTAGAATTTACCCATCCGCTAAGTGTTATGCAATCAGAATAACGTATAACGACTTGAAACATAGGCTACTATGGGAAAATAGGGTCAAAGTTATATTGTCCAGGAATAAATATTGTGGATATGGTAATTCAATATGGTCCCTATAAATGGATAAAATTATGCACATCTACAGTTTTAAGTTGGTACATTCTTTCATTATTCAGGTTCCCACTTTATGTTTTTGCCAAACTATATGTATTGGATGTCCAATTATTTATGGAATTTAATATAATTGTTTAAAGTATGAGCCACTAAACAAAATATCAATTTCTAACTCAAAATTCAATAAAGAAAACTATTGAAACATAATTTCTAAAGAATATTTCAATATTAAACTATTTTCCGATAGGCATTCCAATGAAAATAAAAAATTTTAGATAGTTCGAATTTGATGATTCCAACTATATATTTTTGTTGGAATTTTTTTTTAACCATTAATTTCAACAATTAACAAAACTTTTATTTGATTTGTCAAATCTATCAGAAATTCCAACAGAAAATCAATTATAACGAGTCATTTCCTTCGAAATTTTGCATTAAAATTACCGTTAAAATTTTGTAGGATACATTGTAGTCAAATTTTTAATTGAAATTTGATGATTAATTTTCTATTATGAGCTTCTATTGCGAAAACAAATAAATTTAAACAGAAGTTAAAACAATCAACTTTTTAAGAAACTTTATTAGATGAAAGTACCATATGCAGTGGTGGGCACAACTGTTACTAGGTAAAAGAATTATACTTCTAGGAACAATAAAGATTATAATGAAGTGTTATAAATGAGTCAATGTGATATAAAATATTGGTCTAAAATATTAGATAACATGTGTTTTCGATAACATGTGTATTGTCTGTTCATTTGTTTCAATTTTATTG